AGGAAACTCTATAACAATTCACTCCGAGAATGCCTAGCTTTCCAAGGTTTCATTTTATAGTTTCTTGTATAACATTTGAAATAAACTTCGAAAAACGATAACGGTCTGAGCTGTTATGATCCTATTTGGAAATAGGGAACACTGGCGTGTTTTGTTTCAATCATTACTACACGTCAGGAAACTGTTTAAGTTTGAAATATATACTGTTTGATTCAGAACATGAAAGTTGTACTAGAGTTACACATTTTTGTATAATACATTCCCTATTTTACCAAATATTTATTAATTAAAAACTGATAAGTTGTTGAGGTAGCTCACATTAAATTGCTATAACTTAATTTGTTATTCCAAATGTTAATAGTATTTTGTTTACGAGATTTTGTAATGCTTCGTATCTACCCGTTTATAACACATTTTTTGTTGCTCTTTTACAGCATATTATATTTTCATTCGCTTTTCTCAGACCTAATGAAATTGAAAAAGAAAGCTAGTTTTTATTTGACTTTTGTTATGATTCCAATTCTCTCCAGTTGCCTGTCTACGCCAGAATGTTGTTAGGTTACGTCATAGTGAACATTCGCAAGTACTTCTGCGACTGGTTGTGACGTATCCTTGGCTTTACAAAAAAACCATACAAAATACTGTATTAAACTTAATGTATTTTAGTTTCTTACGTCAAACACGTGCGTTGAAATTATTCGTGCGTCCGAAACTACGAAGATGGAGCAACCATGGGTATTTTTATTTTTTGCTTTAGTTTTCTAAGTAATAAGTAGTGTTAATTTTTTTATAATTTTTCATTTCAATTGGAGTTAAACGGTGACTTGTGAGAAAATGAATGTGTAATGATACGGCAAAGTTTACAATTCCAACATTTAATTACATATAAATTATTTACTTGTTGCCTTTGGCAAATATGAAAGTTCAAACGAAGTATATAGATCAACATAAAGTTTCAATAATCCCAAACCCAGTTAAAATAATTTGGTTCACTAAGAAGATACAAATAAGGAAACCTCACTTGATATATAAATAAACACAGTTAAAATGTTTTAGTTTGGTATTACGATTCATATAATTCAACCTCACTTGATATATAAATAAACGCAGTTAAAATATTTTAGTTTGGTATTACAATCCATATAATTCAACCTCACTTGATATATAAATAAACACAGTTAAAATGTTTTAGTTTGATATTACGATTTATATAATTCAACCGCACTTGATATATAAATAAACGCAGTTAAAATATTTTAGTTTGGTATTACGATTCATATAATTCAACCTCGCTTGATATATAAATACAATTTCATCGATTTATTTCAATATGAGAGTATAAAAATAAACTTACTTGAGATATAAATACATGTAAGATATTACGTAGAAATAAGAGTTGATTATTTCATGCTTTTCTTTGGTTTTTATGACATTAACTACTTGTAATCACTTTCTTATAAGGAGTTCGCTTCGTTAATTAATTTATAAGCGAATGTTTCACTGTTACCTACATAGTTAACTTACTTTTTCACAAATTATTATTTAAACTGAGATCAACTTTGATGTCATAGGCACAGCTTCCTCTGCTAAATGTTTTACGTTGCATAAGTTTATAGAATACATTTACTCTCAATCCTAAGTAACAACGTCAAAGGTTGGGGTTCAACTTAAGAAGAAAAAATAAATTGTTAAAACACGAAAATACGTTTGTTTGTTTGTTTCTTTTTCGAATTTTGCGTATAGCTACTGGAGGGCTATCTGCGCTAGCCGTCCCTAATTTAGCAGTGTAAGACCAGATGGAAGGCAGCTAGTCATCACCACCCACCGTCAACTCTTGGGCTACTCTTTTACCACCGAATAGTGGGATTGACCGTCACATTTTAACGTCCTCACGGCTAAAAGGGCGAGCATGTTTGGTGTGACGGGGATTCGAACCCGCAACCCTCAGATTGCGAGTCGAGCGCCCTAACCACCTGGCCATGCCGGGCCACGAAAATACATAAAAGAAAACTGAAACCAGATCAACTCAATATTTTGTATCATCTTCATAGTAAGCACTTTGTTGATTTACCGACAACGAAAATTTCAATAAGGAGTATTTTCCTTACGTTTAGTCTATGGGCTTATAACGCTTGAAACCTGGTTTTGATACCCGTGGTGGACACAGTACAGATAGCCCACTGTGTAGCTTTGTGTTTTAACTACAAACAAACAAACCTCAAGTTTAAGTCCTTCGATGGGTCAGTGGTAAGTTTACGGACTTAAAACGTTAAAATCCGGGTTCGATTTCCCGCGGTGGACTGAGCAGATAGCCCGTTGTGGTTTTTCGTTAAAACAAACAAACTTTACGTTTAAAGATCAAACTATATACACATGTTGAATTCAAACATTTCTAGGAAGAAGGTTGTATCGAAACGTAATTTTAGTACATAAGTTATAGTAAGCAGCAACTACCAGAAGAACTTTCCAGAAATATTACCTTGAAATGTATTGTGTATCAAATCGGTTGTCATTATTAATATGATAGTCAAAAAAATATCATTAGATGGTATGTAATACAACTGTTTGTTTCGGAGATTCGAGCAAGGCTCAACAAGGGCTATCTGCATTAGCTGTCCTTAATTTTGAGCTGATAGACTTGATGGAAGTCAGCTAGTCAACAGCACCGAACGCTCACTCTTAGACTACTCTACTCTAATAGTATATTTTATTTTACTGTCGCTCTTATAAAGCATTCAAGTATGAAGCACGATTTGACAGAAACGGGACATGAACCATAGATCCCGGAATTCACAGTTCGGCACTCTAGCCAGTAGGCCACGCCAGCCCAGGTATAGGAGATTGGCATATAAGTCAGTTAAAAACTCAGGGGAAGCTGATTCCGATATTTGTAACACTGGTACAATTATATCTTACCTTCCTCCCTCCCCAACTACTGCCACTGTCGAGCGTGTATTTAGAATACTACGACGCAATAGGTCACATCTTGAAAGATATATAGCTCAAAAGAGACTTACTTTTTTAATTATTTTGAAAGTCCCCCAGTGGATCAGAGGCAAGTTTATGTACTTAAAACGCTAAAATCTAGAGTTCTATTCCCCGCGGTGGACAGAACGGCCAGGTGGTTAGGGCGCTCGACTCGCAATCTGAGGGTCGCGGGTTCGAATCCCCGTCCCACCAGACATGCTCGCCCTTTCAGCTGTGGGGGCGTTATAAAAGTCAGTTTTATCTTAGTGTGGTTGGCAGGGTGTTACTGACTGGCTACCTTACAAACACGTGGGGGCGTTATAATGTAGCGGTCAATCCCACTATTCGTTGGTAAAAGAGTAGCCCATGAGTTGGCGGTGTGTGGTGATGACTAGCTGCCTTCCCTCTAGTCTCACACTGCTAAATTAGGGACGGCTAGCGCAGATAGCCCTCATGTAGCTTTGCGAGAAATTCAAAACAAACAAACCGTTTTTTCACTATGCGCTGAAACACAACACCAACTTTGGCAAATGAGCTTATTAAAACTGGAGATGAAAAACGGCGAAATACTTTTACACTAGTCTAACTTACATATGTTGATTTTTGGACAAACTTTAATTTTTTTTTTCTTTTGTGATTGAACCTCTCCAACAAGTACTTACTTCCGACGCCATTGATGTAACATATAATTTTTCGCTGTCTACGTCATACACACTGTGTTTACTGCCGAGGATGGTATATACATATAAGCAATTATAAGAATTAAAAATGTCTGACTTAATCTAAGCTATTGGTTATTTAGAGCCGGGTTTCGATACTCGCGGTGGGCAGAGCACAGATAGCCCGTTGTGTAAATTTGCGCTTAGTTACAAACAAACACCTAACCAACTTCACTATAAAAATATAAATGAACTCTTGTAGTAAGTTAACATTTTTGGACAATAGAATTAAACTTTTCACTCAATATAAATGTCATGCCTGAACTTTTCACTCAATATAAATGTCATGCCTGAACTTTTCACTCAATATAAATGTCATGCCTAACAAACAAACAAAAAACTCTACGAAACTTAAAATTTATCTCTTCAAGGTAATGATACAACGTGGCCCCTGGTAACGATCCGTCACTAAAATAAGACAGGATTGGCTACGAGTATAATTTTTCAAATAAATTTTATTTTACCGACTTATAGCAAGAATGGAAACACTAACAAAAATAACCATGGGTATTCTTGTAGAAGGGTTAACGTGACCTACTGATTGGCGTGCCCGGACTGTAAATCCGAAGATTCACGGTTCGTAACATCTTGTTGAAAAAAACACGCTTTGCACTTTGGTGCGCTAAAAAGGTGACGGTGAAATCCCACTATTTAAGTCGGACAGGATTATCCGGTGATAAACTTTATCGCTATTTAAGTCGGACAGAATTATCCGGTGATAAACTTTACCGCTATTTAAGTCGGACAGGATTATCCGGTGATAAACTTTACCGCTATTTAAGTCGGACAGGATTATCCGGTGATAAACTTTACCGCTATTTAAGTCGGACAGGATTATCCGGTGATAAACTTTACGTTTCGTGAGGCAGTATTACTCTCAACACATGTTCTTTCGGACGTTGCAAATCCCGGTGGGACATTGGTAAGTTTACAGATTTACAACGATTAAACCCGGGGTTCGATTCCCCGCTGTGAGCACGTCAGATAGCCTAATGTGGCTTTGTTCTCAAACAAACAAATTACTTTCCGACGGTCAAAAGCAGACTTTCATAATACGTAATAATAATATAATACAATATTAATAACGCATGATAGATAGATAGAGCGATAGAAAGATAGTTTAAGATATAAAAGAGCAACAAGGACGATTTCATGCTCTGGGGTAAAACTTCGTCGTAGCTAGTAAAGTGCATTAATTTCACAGTAACGTAGCCAAGTCCGTCAAAGAAACCGAATGTTTCCTCCACTCACAGCGTTCACTTACCTTAAAGTAAGCACGAGAAACTGTAAAGGTGATTACCAACGTGTACTTACTGGTGGAAAGCTGCTTACATCTGATTTCTGTTCGTTTCTGTCGTTTCCACTTGTGAAGAAAATATATATATATATAAAGATTAGATCAGATTTAACTGGGTCTAGAATCTAGATGTTGCTGCTTGCCTAACATAGAACAGAATGCTTGTTGTTTTCTACTGTGCTCGCGGAGGTAAACGTGCGAGTTGGACTCGTAGTTTTTGAGTTCGATTTGCGCATGTCCGAGCAGGCTGACGATGAAAGAATAATATATATGTGAAGGTGTGGTTTATTATGAAGCCCAAATGGACCAACAAACGAGGGGCGTAGCAGATTTGGATCATTAGTCATATCTTCTGTTTTCGTGGGAAATTTTCATTTCTCGTGAACATTTAATAATCAATTTACTCCAAAACACAACCTTAATGGTTAGGTCCATCCCTATTTATAATTGAAAACAATCATCAATAATGGAAACTAATCACGTTAAAGTTGGTTGTGTCTAAAACACATGTAATTCCAGATCGTTATTTAAACGACGAATCCCAGCAAGATGGCAAGTTATGAAAACTCTTTTACTGAGTAGCTCATATTATTAATTGACTTTTATCTAATTTGTTACTATTCCTTTTTACACAGGTTGTATAACGTAAGAAAGTGTGGCGAAGAAACAGGTCTACGTACAGAAGTCGAACACTAGGTTTTATGTTTAAAATATTAATTCTACAAAAACCGAATTCTACGAAATAGGAGGCTTTTATTATTATTAAACTCGTTCTCAGAATTACATTTGTTTCGAAATGAAGTTATTCTTAAAATTGTTTTGGACTGATGACCGTCATGTGCGGCGTTTAATTGATAACATAATATAGATTTCGAGTAAAATTAATGTTTCAGTTTCGGTGAATGATATGAATACTATTTCAAATTTCTGAATTATTCATTTCTTTTGTTCAAAGTAAGTTTGTTTGTTTTTAAGCAAAAAGCTACAAAATGAGCTATCTGTGCTCTACCCAACACCAGTACAGAAACCCGTTTTTTGCGTTTTAAGCCCGCGGACTCACCCGCTGAGCCACTAGGAGTAGCGGGATTTGACTGACGCTCTTATAGAGCACCCGTGGCCTCAAAGTGCGGAACGCGTTTTTGCGACATCGAGCCGCGAGCCATGAACCTTCGGATTCAACGCGACAACTGACCACCTGGTACAGTATGAAAGTGTTCTTTTCTTCATAGAAACTCCTTTTCTATCTTCTCGTTAAACCTGAAACTAATAACTGGTCGCGTAAAAACCGCTTTTATTATTATAGAGGGCGTTGCGACTTCTTTACCGGAATAGAACGTTGATAATTTGCTCCTTTACAACCTTCCTTGAATTATACTGTGTCTTTTCATGAAGTAGTAAATATTGTATGTGGTGAATTTAAAAAATGTAAAACAATAGTGTTGCGTAAGCGAAATCACATGACTAGTGTGACGCCACGTTTCTAGAACTATCCTGTACCTTGGCGAATGCTCTAGCATTCACTAGATATAGGGTA